TGCAGCTTCACTGTAGCCTACGCAGTCGCCAGCGACTCATGACAGCCCAGCTTCAGGTCGAGCTGTCATTCACCATCTTAGCTGTAGAGGGCGCAGCATCACAGACTCTCATGTGAGATTCAAACTGGGGACCTGCTGCTCAGAGCTGGCGTCCCAAGCCAGCTCTTAACCAATGTGCCACTTGGCCGGCCCAGTGATGAGTTTTTAGATGCAACACCAAAAGCATGATCCATCAAAGAAAAAAACTAAGTTGAACTTTACTAAAATTAAAAACATATGCTCCATTAAAGATGTTGTTAATAGAATGAAAAGACAAGCCACAGGCTGAGAGAATATATTTGTAAACACACATCTGATGAAGGACTTGTATACAAAATATACACAGAACTCTTAAAACTCAACAATAAGAAAACATATTAACCCAATTGAAAGGTAGGCAAAAGATCTGAAGAGACACCTCAAATAAAATATGTAGATGGCAAATAAGCATGTGAAAGATACTCTACATGTGTCATTAGGGAATTGTAAATTGAAACAATGAGGTACCACTACATATCTATTGGAATGGCTAATATTCCAAAACACTGACAACACAAAATGTTGACAAGAATACGGAACAACAGGAACTCTCCTTCACTGCTGGTGGGAATGTAAAATGGTACAGCCACTTTGTAAGACAGTTTAGCAGTTTCTTACAAAACTAAACATAGTCTTACCATATAATCTAGCAAATGTGACCATAAGTATTTACCCAAATGAGAAGAAAGGAATGTCCACACAAAAACATGCATACAAATGTTTACAGCAGCTTTATTCATAGTTGCCAAAACTTGGAAAGCACCAGTATGTCCTTCAGTAGGTGAATGGATAAACAACTGTGGTGCATACATACAACCAATATTGTTCAGCAATAAAAAGGAACAAGCTATAAAGCCACGAAAAGACCTGGAAGAACTTTAGCTGCATACTGCTAAGTGGAAGCCAGTCTGTAAAGACCATACACTGTATGATTCCAACTGTACAACTGTATGACATCCTGGAATAGGCAAAATTATAAACTCAGTAAAAAAAATAAAATAAATAAAAATTAATGGTTGCCAGGGGTTCAGCAAGGGAAATGAAGTGTGGTGAACAAATGAGTAAGTACAGCTCAGAAGATTTTTAAGGCAGTGAAAAATTCTGTATGATATTGTATTGGTAGATACATGACTTTATGTTTTTATCAAAACTCATAGAACTGTACAACACAAAGGGTGAACTTAATGTAAACTATGAACTTTAGTTAACAATAATGTAACAACATTGGCTCAATTGTAATAAATATACTACATACTATTGTATGATGTTAGTAATAGGAGAAACTGTAGTCTCTCTGTGTGAAAGGGGGACTGGAGGGTGGTATGTGAGTATTCTGTCCTTTCCGCTAATTTTTTCTGTAAACCTAAAACAGCCAGTCTAAAAAGTAAACTCTTTTAATTTATATAAGTAAGTAATTAATTAAGAAGAAAATAGAGAAGAAAAACGTTCTCATCTGGGGAAAAAAAAACCTCTTTAGACAATATATATCATGAAGCCTCTATACAGAAAAATGTAGAAAAGGACACACAAAATTCTGCACAGAAGTTCATAAAATTCACAGTATCCCATAGCCCACTAATGATCTTTATTAAACCAGCTTTTTAACCTCTAAATTAAGGAGAAAAAATATGAAATTATCTTTTCATTTTCCAAAATTTTAATTATTACAATTGACAAAATTTACAACCTAAAATATTGCCCCTTTTTAGTTTTGAACAAACAATTAATTCCTTCAAGCCTTATTGCCTTCAAACTAAATAATGTGACTTTTCATCCATAATGTATGCCATCAAATTTAAAGATAATCAAATTTAGATAATAAAATTTAAAACGATTAAATTGCCTTTTTTTTGGTTTTTTTTTTACCCCAGATTAACTTATTCACTATTAAGTCATTTCTAATTCACTAAATGAATTTCACAGGTGGAAAAAAAATCTTACCTGCAAGATGGGAAAAGTAGCAGTGGTGATGCCCATTTTGTGTAAATTTAAGAGCATTTCACTTCCACTCCATACTTTACAGGATGATTCATAATCTTGTTCCACAAGATGTTCAATGTTTGCTTCTAACCAACTGGAATAAAATAAACAATGCCATCAACCAATATCATCTTATGTGCACCATATCAACAGAACAGAGAACTCAGCATTAATCTGTATTCTTTGAAGCTCTTAGGACACAAATGTGGATTGATTAAGACACTTTTTTAAAAGCATGCAGATCTCATATTATAAAATAAACATTTATATAGCTAAAAAGAAGGCTTTATTTTTTCCCCAGAAAAGAGAAACACGTATGTGATTTCCAAGTTGTGTTTTGTGGATTCACACTGCTTTACTTGACTGTCTCTCCAACTGATAGCCATGTGTTAGGAGCTTATCCCAAATGCACATAAAAAGATATACAAAATTATCTAATAGAGAAAACCAAAGTGTTACATATTAACACAAAAAAATTACTAGAAAATGTATAAATATATTAATATATATACCACATGTACATTCATTAAGTGCTTACATGCCTATTATTATGCTAGACACTGTACTAGGTGGTGGAAATACAGCAATAGGTAAAATAGGCAAGGTCCTTCTTCTCATGGAAATTATTATATATTCTACTGAAGGGAGAAATAAACTTAGAAACAAACACATGAACAAGAAAATATCAGGTAGTAATAGTGGTATAATGAAGCCAAATTAGATTAATATCTAATTGCTATTTTAATTTGAATGTCCAAAAAGCTCTCCCTTATTCATTTGAAGGTAAAATGTACCCAGTAGTGAGAGGATCAGAAAAAATCGTGCAAAGGTCCTGAGGTAGTTAACAAGTTATGCTCACTTAAGGTCCTGAAAGAAAGCCAATGTGGTTACACACAATGGGCAAAAAAGAATAATGGTGTGAACAATGTTCAAGTGATAAGCATGAAACAGATGTTAACCCAGGATAAGAAATTTAGACTCCATTCAAAGTACAATGAGAAGGTTCAAGGCCAGAATGGGTTATAAGAGAAAGGCAAAAGTGAAAGCAGAGACCTCTTAGGAGGCTATTACAGTATTCTAGTTGAGAGATGATTGTGGGATAATAGATGTAAGACTGAAGGATTTGGGATGTGTTGTGCTGGTGGCATTTACAAACCTTACTGATAAATTGAAGGAGGTGGGGCAGTAATCAAGAATACTACTTAAATTTTTTATTTGATTAACTGGTTGGTACCATTTGCTTAGTTGAGAAAGACAGGGGCAGGTGTGGGGAGGAGGTAGGGGAAAAAAGGATTTTATTTTGAAAAGTTGAAATTTAATATCCAGATATAACGGATAGATATACGAAAATGGCATTCCAGGGAGAAGTTGGGGCCAAACACAGGTTCAGGCCTCATCTGTACTGCTATGGTACTTACTGGGTTACGTAACTTAGGGAAAGTGCAGAGCTAGAAATGAAATTGAGATCCCAAGACCAAGTCCTGAGGCACTTCAACATTTAGACATCAAACAAAATAAGAACTACGAAAACCAAACAAAACAAAACCAAAAAAAAACTGAGAAAGAATAGATTGTGAAGAGGAAAACCAGATGTCATAGAAGCTGTCTAGAAAAAAACATTCCTGTGTGTCTCCTCTACTCTTACTACTTCACTTCCAACACCTCTAGTCATTAACTGTGTGTAGGTTTTTTCCCCCCACAAACAATTCTCCAAGACACCAGCTGGGTGTCTCATCCAGTCATGTGTCACTCAATGATGGGGTTATGTTCTGAGAAATGTGTCCGTCAGTGATTTTGTCAGTGCCTGAACATCATATAATGAATGTACACAAACCTAGATGGCACAACCTACTTCACACCTAGACTATAAGGTATAGACTGTTACTCCTAGGCTACAAAACTGTACAGCACGTTACTAAAATGAATATTATAGGCAAGTGTAACAAGGGTTAAGTATTTGTGTATCTAAACATAGAAAAGGTACAGTAAAAATATGGTATAAAAGATTAAAAAATGGTACACCTGTGTAGGGTAATTAACCATAAATGGAGCTGGCAGGACTGGAAGTTGCTCTGGGTGAGTGAGTGAGTTAGCGGTGAGTGAGTGTGAATGCCTAGAACATTACTGCTAGGCTTTATAAACACTGTACATTTAGGCTACATTAAATTTATAAAAGATATTTTTCTGTGTTGAGGTCTGCAAGAGCTTTTGCTAAACCCTTCACTGAATTTTCTCGGAGGTTCTTTATTTTCTTCTCCTGCAGTTTCCTTTTCTCTTGCCTCGTCTTCAGCTATGCGTTCCCGTTCCAGTTCCAACAACTCCTCAGTCAATTCCTCAGGAATCACCTCTAGGAGCTCCTGAATGTTGTCCTCAGCCACACCCAGGTTAAAGTTGCTTGTCATCTCAACCACAGATTTGATTTTTGTAGCCTCCTCCTCTTTGGTAAATCCTTTAAAGTCATGGACGAACCTCTTGAGTGTCTTCTTCCAGATGCCATTCTACACTCCTTGGTGACATCACTCCAAGCCCAGCCAAGGTTCTGGATGTAGTCATAGAGGTTGTAGACTGTGGCGATAGTTTCACAGATATATACTTATCTCCAAACATATCAAGTTGTATACATTAAATATTTACAGCTTTGTGTACGTCAATACCTCAATAAAATGGTTTATAAAAATAAAAAATATTTTTATGCTTAAAATGGGGAAGACAAAAAAATGCATATATAGTATGCCATCATTTGGGTAAAATGAGAGGGACAAGAGAAAGCATCTATATTGGCTCAAATATGCATGAATATGCACTCAATGATAAACTTATAGGAGGACAAGAACTAAGCAGATGGGGATTTGGGTGAGAAAGGAATTTTTACAATATAAACGTGTATACATTTTATGTTGAAACATGTGACTGTATAACACTCAAATTTTTTAAAAAGTATCCTGTAAAGGTAACAAAAAAGTGCATCAGTAAATGGAATAGGATGTGGGGAAGGGGAAGTTTTTTCAAAGATTAAAGAGATTCTAGACTAGATCAACAACCTAATGTCTAATGAAAGGGAAATCTAATGTAAATTTTAATAAAATTACTACTAGATCTATTATTTTAGAGTATTGAAATTATGGTTAATTGAAACTCATCAAACCAGAATTCTACACAAACTGGTGGATAAAGTGATAAATTAAAGCCATAATCCAGAATTTTAAAATATGTTAATTAAAACCATATTTATATTCAGCCCAATGTCCTATACACAGTTTATAGGGCTGTTAAGTTAGGAATAAGATTTATAACTATCAATTAAAAAATTGATTCTGTCCATTATATTTTATTTTATTAAATTTACTGGAGTGAAACTGGGTAATAAAATTATATAGGTTTCAAGTATACAATTATATAATAAATCATCTGTATATTGCAGTGTGTGTTCACCAAAGTCAACTCTCCTTCTGTCACCATATATATACTCCCTACTCCCTTTTTCCTCTGGTAACCACCATACTGTTGTCTGCTTCTATATGAGTTTTTGTTTGTTTATTTGTCTTGTTTGCTCATTTCATTGCTTTCAGTTTTATATCCCACATATGAGTGAAATCATATGGTTCTTCATTTTTCCATGTGACTTATTTCACTTAGCATGATACTCTCAAGATCCATCCATGTTTTCACAGATGGCAATATTTCATCTTTTCTTGTGGCTGAGTAGTATTCCATTGTATATTCATATGTACCACATCTCCTTTATCCAATCATCCATTGAAGGACACTTGGTTTGTGTCCATGTCTTGGCCACTCTGAATAATGCTGCAGTGAACACAAGGGTACATATATCTTTACAAATACATGTTTTCAAATTTTTCAGGTAGATACCCAGAAGAGGAATTAATAGCTGGGTCATAAGGTAGCTCTATTCTTAATTTTTTGAGGAACCTCCATACTGTTTCCATAGTGGCTGTACCAATTTATATTTCCACCAGCAGTGTATGAGGGTTCCTTTTTCTTCACAGCCTCTCCAACATTTGTTATTACTTGATTTGAAGATAATAACCATTCTAACATGTGTGAGGTGGTATCTTGTGGTTTTGATTTGCATTTCCCTAATAGCTAGTGAAGTTGAGCATCTTTTCACACATCTGTTGGCTATCTGTATGTCTTCTTGGAAGAAGTGTCTGTTCAAGTCTTCTGCCCACATTACATTCTTTTGAACAAGACAAAAGTTTGGAATAACCTATTTTTAAAGCAGGAACAATCTATTTCCCAAATAGCCTGGTCAAAGTATACTAACTGTAAAATACTCTGGCATAATAAAACATGTTTTTAATACAAAGGCAGCACAAATTACACTGACAGACAAATGTTCTTACTTAATGAAGCCGTAGCACACAGCTCGTAGGGGTTCATGGTCTTTCTTCCTTATGTTATTGTTGACCATACTATCTAGTTCATCTCGAGCAAACCGAAGCTGAACTTCCGTTACACTGAAACTTGCTGATTCCCGAGCACAGTCCTCAATGTTATGAGCTTCATCTAAAATGATAACCTGTTCTTTCAGATTGATATCCATCTATAAGATAAAAAAATTTTCCTGTAAAACATTCCGCAAAATGGATTTAACAGCAGTAGCAAGATATTTCATTTTAAAATTCACCATACTGAAGGCCAATAATGCAAGTGCGATTATATAAGCAACTGATTCTAGGTCTTAAAACTTCTAAAGCACTAAGGCCAACCAAGTATCAGCTCAGAGTATGAGCTATTACAGAGTATGCCATTTTGCACTCTCAAAATTCTTTGCACACATATTAAAAATAAAATATATATGTTAAGGTACAGCTGGCTACACAAAGGTGTATAAAAATCCCACTATGAAGGAGTCTCCAACATAATTTAAAAAGCAGAGTAAAAAACCCCTAAAATAACAAGATTCAAAAGACTTGCAAAATACTAATGTAATATAGAGTGTATCTTTCGTTTTAGTCTGTCCTACAACCCTTCAGTTTGAGAACTGCTCTACCCCAACTCCCATATATGTTGGTAGGACTACTAATCTGTTAATCAGGGGACATCACCACTCTCACAACATGGGTAGACTCAGAGCCCAGGCTTGTCAATTAAATAAAGTATTTCTACCCTACACATGGTCACAGTCACTAGTTCAGTCATAGTCACTAGTTCAAGAATGGATATGAGATCCATATTAAGCTAACCAGAATAATTTTGGGTGACTAATATAAGATCATGTTCTGTTTTCCAGGGTAGCTAGCTACTTATGGTTATCTCTGTTCCCACTGGAAAGAACTTGCCTGGAAATAAAGCTATCACAATGAAGAATCAGTCAAGTATTTTTTCTTAAGCTCTACCGAAGCTGAGTTTGTCACCTGCAACTGGAAGAGTCCTAACACAAAGAAACTGTCAATGAGTTATTTTGAAAACATAATAATATACAGAGAGCTGACGATGGTTCGAAGAGTAAGAAATATACTGAGGTTTAAAGATGAATAGGATTTAGATAGACAAAGAGAGAGTTGGGCATTTCAATACCGGTGTCATCAAAAGCAGAGATATAGGAAAGAACAAAGAATCATCAGGAGACCATGAGACAATTTTTGAGGGGCTCAAGTTGGGAATTTGCAGCAGAGAAGGCTGTAAGGGCAGATTCAGGTCAGACTATTGAGCATCTTGAGAGTAAGCTTAAGAAATACGGACTTTACCCCATGAGCAAAGAGCAATATGAGATTTTTAAGCAGAGGAAAGATGTAATAAAAGTAATACTAGAAGACTGTCTGTCACTGATCTGCACAGATGCTCGGAGGAAAGAGCCCTAGCTATGAGGCAACCAAATAAGAGGTAGGATAGTAGGGGTAGTAAACATAATGCATATTAATTTCGACTTAAGGAAATAGAAAGCTAATGAGAGTTGTACAGTCAGATCTAAAGAGAAAAATAACAACTGAATATACCAAGTTATTCACTTTTTCTTGTCTTATGCTGTAACAACTGGATATCCCTAAGATAAAACTAGCAAATGATCACAAATGCTATATCTAAAGTTGGCTTCTCAAAAGCTCACAAAGCATAATTTGCATTGTATACAGATTCTCCCAACTTAAGGTCTTCAAAACATAGATTCTTCAGATAAATGTTTGAAAGTAATTCTTTCTGACCACTCATAAATGGCAAGAGTGATAGCTATAAAGGAGTCTCAGCTGTGGGTAATTTTGCTGCCCAGGGTATATTTGGCAATGTAGACAGAGATTTTTGATTGTGACAATGTGAGGGTGTATAATCATCTAGTAGATAAAATCACAGATGTTCCTGAAAATTCTACAATGTACAAGACAGCCCACCACAACAAAGAATTATCCAGCCCAACACATCATCACTATCAAGTTTGAAAAACCCTGCTATAATCCCACTTCAGTACTAGGTCCTTAAAAGTACCTATTACTTTGGAAATTAAAATGACAAGATCTCAAATTCAGTTTTTAATACACCTTAGAATATGTTTTCAGTACTCTAATCTGTTTATACTTACATAAATTAACTATAAAGCAAAAAATAAAGATATTAAGACATCTAAAAGCTTTTACATTCACCACTTTATCCCAATAAGTAGGAAAAACGTTCTAATTTGTACATATCTACTCACACTTTCCCTTATTTGTGCATCTAGAAGATAGTTGTAGGGACAAAATATTATGTCGGCATCTTCTACTAGTTCTCGTGCTGTGTAATATGGACATGCCTTTACTTTTTTTCCCAAGCTGACAAGTTCTTCTATATCCCAGGCCTTGCACATCCCTTGGAAAGTCTGTAATGTGTGTTGATCACTGATTTTCTGAACACCATGATAAAAATAGCAGGTTTTGCCCTAAAAACAAATATTCATAACTGAAATGTGAACCAATATTGGAACAGAAGAAATAAAACATGTTTATCTCAGAATTTTAGGAACATCATTAAAGCCACAAGGCACAGATTTTATAGAGATAAATTACACCATATCTACAATCACAACCATTTTAAAAAAACTATATTGACTTAATAGAGCTCCAGATCAGTATAGCAATAGATACCCCAAATTAATTTGAAATGTATATTTTTAAAAGTATGTTTGTCATGGCTTTGTTCTGATTAAAGTGATATTAGGCAAAAATATTTCTGGAAGAATACAGAAGACATCACTGGTTGTGTTAAAAAATTTGAGAGCTAAATGACTTGGGGACAGGAGTGGGAGAGATTTTTCTCTACAGGCACTTTTGTACCTTTTCAATTTGAGTCATGAGACAGTATTTCTTAATCAAATACAAATATAAGTAAATAGGAAGGAAGGAAGGAAGGAAGGGGGAAGAAAAGGGAAGGAGGGCAGGGGAGAGAAATGTTCTAGCGGAAAAAATAATAAAGTAAGAGTGTTCACCACAAGATACTTGGAAAATACAAAAGAATATCAAGAAAAACCTAAATTATTTGTAATTCCATCACACAAAGAATGTACTATTAACATTTTGATATACTTCATTTCATATTTCTTCTATACGTACGTAGTATATATGGATATATCTTTACAATGTGACCTAATATTAAAATAATGAGAAAGAAACAAATTTTCCCCAGGCATTGCAATCTAGCCACAATAAATAAATATTTTTTATAAAACTGGGATCACTTTTCTTCTCTCAGCCTATTTTATTAAAACTCCTATAAGAAATATTCTCTCACACCACTATTTTTTCATTGTTGCCTACATATACATATTGAATTAATGTGCCACAGTTGATGAACCAGTTTTATTATTATTGAACATTTAGACTGTTACCAATCTTTGCTTTAGAAATAATGCTGCAATGAGCATTTGTATGTCCTTTTCTAAATATTTTCTTAGTATATATCTTTAGAAATGGCATTATGGAATCAGAGTGTATAAGGTATTTTTAAATTTTTAAATTTCTTGAAAATCACCAATTTATTCTCCAGAAAGTATATACCATTTTACATTACCCTTTTTCCACACCTTTATCAACACTAATATTATCTTTCTTTATCTTAGCCTATTTTAAAGGTAAAAAATAGAATCTTCTTGTTTTGATTTGTATTTTTTAAACTTTCTAGCAAGGTTTGGCATAATATTGTATGAACACCAACAAACTTCAACAGTAATTTACATCTCTTCTTTCATGTACTAATGTCCCTTGGCATTCTATTACTGGAAGTAAAAAATTTTTATAACATACACTAATTAAAAAATAAGAAGATTGATAAAACCCAGCCCTAGCAAGGGTGTGTCATATCCTATTAAAAACGTATAAAATTAGTAGAAGCAATTTGTCAATAATTATCAAAATTTTATATATACACACACAGCATTGTTTAATAGCCAAAAATTGGAAATAAACCAAATGTCTACCAACAGGGGACATGTTAAATAAATTAAGGTAAATTCATACAAAAATGTAGCCCTTAAAAATGAATTAGATTTATCTGTGTGCTAATGTGTTTAAGCTATTAAAAGAATAATATACACATGGATTACAGCAAATACATATTTTAAATATTTTGGAAGAATATACATAAACCTTTACAGTAGTAGTTTCTTTGAAGGGTTAAGGGGTAGAAAGTGCTGGAAAGAAAGAACTTCTCTTTCCATTTTTCATCTTTCTGTAATTTTGAGTCTTCTAACCATGTACATTTTATTACTTTTGTTTTTCCATTGTTATTTGGGACTAAGGGGTGAAATAATGGGTCATTTTTATTTTCATTAATTTCATGTATCAATAAAAAAATTAAATGTGATTTTGAAATCCAATACTTATCTTTCCCAGTTTGCTGTCCTTAACAAATGAAAGCACACACACACACACACACACACACACACACACGGTGCAAAAAAAATGTATACACATTTAAAAAAAAGGAAAAAACTGTATTAAAATTGTAATAATATATACCGATAACAAAGATGAATACAAGTCATGTGTATACATTTTCTTGGCACCCCTGGTGCGTGTGTGTGCGCATGGATGCATATATATATATATATATATATATATATATATATACACACACACACACACACACACACACACACACACATATGCTTTACATACGTACATATACTTTATATACATATGTATTTTTAACTATGACCTATCCAAAGGCAAACCTATGTTTTCAAAACATACAGACATCATTACATATACAACAGTACCTAGAAATTGCCAGCAATGGAGTATAACATAAAAGCTTCATAACTTTTAAGAGAATGTCAGCAAATCCAAGGCCAAGGTCTGATTAACTGAGGACTACTAGTGCTCCTAAAGCTTTGCATCCAGCCATGTTAAGGAAAACCACCTGTTGGTTCATCAAGACATTAAAAATAAAAATGGGAGGATGGGCCCATCCAACCTTCTTTATTTAATTCATTTTTTTATATTATTGTCATTTACTTTAGTAGAGTCTCACCTCTACTACTGTTTTTCACCTTTCATGCCATGTCAACTTCCCTATACCATAGTGACATCTTTTGTTTTTGTTTCTAGTGTAATCAAAACAGCAATGGCTAGGAGAAAAACTTGCCTCCTTTCTTGCTAATTAGTTGTCTGATATTGGACAAACTTAAGGGCCCCTTTTTATCACGTGACTAGGCCTCAAAAGAATAGTTGAACCACAAGCCTTTTAAGATTCCTCTGACCCACCAACTTTACTGTTTCTAAGGTTACTTCCTGCTCTAAAATTTATGATTCTGGTGTCCAGAGACAGGTGATGTGCCAAGTATCTTTCATTACAAGGTTAATATATTGGGTCGTCGGAAAAGTCATGATGTATTTTTCTGTTTTTCGGTGCAAAAATGCGTCATGACTTTTCCGACGACCCAATAGATTGAGTTTAATAATATGATATTCGCCATTTCTTCATTCCAAATATCTTTTGCACTATTCGAAAAACTTCTATTTGTACTAAATGATCATTAAGGTAGGGAGGGGCCTTTGAAGTCTAGGTTAGAAACTGTTAAATCTCATCTTAACAAAAATTGATATTCTTCCATACCTAGAATAAATTTTTTAGAATTATTTCTGGGGCTAGTCAAGATTATTTTTTCTTAATTGAAACAAAATTAACTTTTAACTGATAAGTGCACTACTTTTCCAGTATAAGAGCACTTTAGTAAAAGAAACAGTGAACAAAAACACATGTGCCTTTGGATCGAGCCAAAAAATCAGAAAGTTTACACTTTAAGGGCACTTAGAATGACACTCCTGTGCAGGCTGATAGCAAAACCAGAAAAGCTCATCCATTTTAGCAGTGTAACACAACCCTGAGGGGAGTCTGTCAATTGAAGCGTTATCACACTTTAAACTCCTTTTCACTAAAACTGTCAGTTATCTATCATTTCGCTTTGGTAATTCAGCCATAGTAAACATAGACACCTATAGTAACTTTGTAATTGGCCTTCATTACAATACCAAATTACCCTGAGGGCTTGGAAACAAGTAAAAGAACTTTCATGTATGCCTATGAGCTAAGCATTCTGAGGCAGAATTAGGTCAAGACAAACAACTACCAGCAGGTATCTTCAATTATTTATATCACTAATATTAAAAAAAAAAAAGACTAAATGCCAATGAAAAATTCTGAACATTCAAGTCTATTGAATTTCTTTTTACTTTTACGTGATTCAAACATAACCAGCACTATAGGATTCTAGAGGATTATATAAGACTTTGCTTTCAATACACAATCTTAAACATTATAATTGCTTTTAGCAATGAGATAACAAATAATGTTATGTGTAATTTTCCCAGTAACAAGTAATTAAAAAGACAATGCCAGCAAGTCTCCTTGTATAGTCTACACAGACAGGAAACAAATTTCAAGAATTTGAGGAATCCAGTAGATCAATTAGCCACTTATGGAAAGAAGTCTACTTAAAATTTATGGGGTTTTATCATGAGGAGCCTTTTATATACATATATATTTTAGCATTTGAATTTTTCATATTTTCATCTCTCCTTGAACAGAACTTTTAAAATACATAGTGAAGAGATTTCACAGTTCCTCAGGTAAAAAGAACTTACACAAAAGTAAATATAAATAGAACATCAACAATGGTTCTTATTCAATAATCTGTATTCTTTCCCTGATTCTGAACAAGTCACTTAAGTTTTTCCACTGAAGTTCCTTAGTACTTATACTTCACAGTCACGTGTTTGAATACCTATTAAAGCATCTTTTTTGAATATCCCCAAACAAATCTTGAATGAATTTTCATTTAATAAAAGCACTAAGAAAGAAAAGCATAAAATAATTTATTTACATTATATGGTAGAAGGTGACATATCAAACGAAATTCAAAACACATTAAAATATCATTGTCATTTCATATCATTTCAATGTATGGTTCACCAATAATTTCTGAGTGTAATTCCAGACTTGTAGCTTTCATTTTAGAGTAGACTAGTTATAAAACTGGTACACAGACTATCAAACTAATAATACTCTGGCAAAAAATAATTTAAAAATCTTGCCTTAAAACAAAAAAATCATATGTCTTTAGTAAGAAAGACTTCTCTATTTCTACCTAGCCCAAATTCATGTTATTCAAGATTTCCCTGGAAAACTTCAAAGCCACCAATGACATATCTTTACAGTTAATAACTTAATATATTATAATAATTTGTTTGGAAAGAGAAGTTTGTGCTAAGCAAAGTTGAGACAGAATAATCACGATATTTCTCATTCAATTAAAAAACATTTTGAAATTTGCTCAGAGAGCATAAACTATCTTCCTTTGAAGTTTTTAAATATGTAAAATATATTCATAAATCTAATTAACTAAATCATTTAAATACTTTTATCTCCTCATATGACATCATCCATGTTTGACTATTTTTGGTAGAAAGGCTTAGAAGAAAGAAAGAAGACATCTGATTAAAATGGAAATTAATTTCAAGGAATTAAATATCTCCAAACTTTAAGAAAAACCCATAACATTAAACTTGAATAAAATTTTTCTTACGGTAGAATTATTTTTCAAAAAATAATGAGCAATTAATTTAATTTTTGTAAGTTATTTGAATATCACTGAAATGTACATAAAAATCAAAATTAACACATAAAAAACTGAGTAATTTTAATCTTTTCAGGCTTATTTTTTCTCTAAAACTAAATAACTTTACTCACATTTTTGCCATCCAGCAATTCCATGCACTTTTCCTTTCTGTTGAAGTTACCTACTACTTCAGGGTGGACACAAGTATGATCCCTGCTGGAAAGAATAGTCATTGGGACCCCTGAGTACGCTGTCCTCCGGAGCTCTCTAGTAATCTGAGCAATCTGCTTGTGTGTACGTGTCCCAAAATATATTTTTGGTATCTTGGATTTTCCCCCATGATTCTTCTTAATGGCATTTGAAGAATCTTGATTGTTTCCTTGTTTAGTAGAACAACAGCACCTAGAGCACTGAACAGAGAGCTGTACAAAAAAAGAAAAGATAACTAATGTCTGGACGACCATAAGAAATGTTATCAAACCTCTCATAGAATCAGAACCCATAAGTAATGAATCACAACTGTCATATAAAGAGAAATTTCGAGATATCATCTGAAACTTGCCATTAAAGAAAAAATTACAAATCCCATTTCAAATTGGTTCTCTTTTACTCTTAAAAGTTATAAATGACGTTCCCATATTTGCACTGCTTTCTGACATACCACTCCACCTCTCTAATTCCAAATGTTTTAAGTACATTTTAACTTTCCTCTTTCATAAGTTATAAAAATAATAAGACAAAATTGAGGACAATTTTAATTTTTGCTTACGCTTCAAGTGAACTTGTGATATTATAGTTTAGAGTTGAATGCTATTTTTGTTCACAGCGTAGCCCATTCAAATATCTTATAATATATGAATATTTTAAGACGTATTTTAAATATAACTTACAAAAGAATAAAAACATCAAGTTGAATAGAAAATAACACTAAACAACAAGAAGGGAAAACTACTCTCTAGCAAAGGTATGAAAATGAATGCATATTATTAATATTTAATAATACTTAATAATGAAGGCAGATTGCTTGTGTGGAACAAGTATATCTGAAATTCAATTACCTGTCATAGAATGCAAATCCATCAGTAAAATTATCATTCAGATAGCTTTTCCTAGACAATTTTACTTGTAATTCAGTTTCATAACTGAAATGTCTCCTTAAACACACTATATGGAACATCAGAATATAGTCTAATGTTTACCTGTTTTTTTTTTTCTCTCCTGTTCCTAAACTCTCAGAAATAAAAATAAAAAAGTTTAATGCTATATATTAGAACCTATGGGTTCTTAATAACTACTACCTAACTCAACCTCAATTACTACACATGAGACAGAATGCAGCCTCATTTAAGAGAAATACTGTGAAATGGTTAGTTTATAGAAGTGGTCACTGATGGGGAAAAAAAGCTAAGTAGCACAGTAGCTTAAGAAAACTTGTACTGAAGAATTTTAGTTTAGTAGAACAAATATACCATTTAACTGAATTTTTTTTAAAAATTATAATCAGTAAGATTAGCCTTCATAAACAAATGCTAAGTCATAGCATGTTACACCACAATACTGGAGATCAAGCTGTCTTTTAGCCTCAACTCAGTGGAAAAGCAAGTTCAAATTACTCCCAGTCTCGCTCAACCTTGTCCGCCATTAAATATTACAATACATGATAGAATGGATGTAAATGTGACCCTTCTGGAACTGTCACTCACTGGGATAAAAGGTTCACTGATGTGCCAAATAAATAGTCAGTCAAAGCAGATAAAGTTACAGCCATGCTGGAATTGTTACATTCCCCTCTCAGGTTGCCAGTAACAGCAGATTTCATTACAGAGTGCTGCCACATTAAATAGCCAGTTCCAAATATCCTGCCTTCTATATTGAATAATTACTTATTCACTGAAAGGATAAAAAGAAGAGTTATGAATGGGGCTCTTGTCAACACTGAGGCAGGAAACAGCTGACATGTGGTTTATGTTACATATGTTGCAATATCTAACAATTTATGGTCACACAGAAAATGGGATGCAAATTATATCATGATATTTCTGACTGAATTCTTTTAGGCCTTTGCAATGATCACATTAATTAATTAACATACTAAAAGAATTAAGGTAACTCTAGGCAGCAGAATTAGTTTACTTTTTCATACTTTCAATCTTTTCACTCAATTATACTATTTCTGTTCCCTATGATCAGTTAAATTCATCCTGAATATTAGAATGCTACGGACCAATGGATTGCTACATATTATGTGGATATATTATATCCAAGCATAAAAGTAACGCAATAAAGTGGTCTTTTCCCAAGACTTAGAGATCATCTATTTTTTGATGTAATACTTTTCAAAATCAATTCCACTTAAAACTTTATCACCTATACCTTTTAATTCCACTTTTTTTCCTGACCGCAAAATTTAAAAACACAGAAATATACAAAAATCAACCGCCACCACAAATAATTCAGTATAATTTGCAGACCTTCACATATGTATAAATATATCTTCCATACATTTTTTTTCAAGTAAAAAGGGATGCTATAATACAGCTTTATAACTTGTTGATTTGTATTCAAACTTTTTAATTTTTAAAAGGGGTGAATTTGTCACTAATAATTTATATAAAGAACGTGTTTATCTTAAAATGTTATGCTAGTAGCTATGCTAACAAAAACAAAAGATCCAGAACTAGTTTCAGAAAAATTTTCCCATTAGAGCAGATTTAGGTACCTTAAATTTGCTTTTCATTCCATAATTGAGACAATTATCAATCATGGCTAATTTTATATTAAACATGTTTTTGTTTGTTGTTTTAAGATCTAAAGTGCTCTGAAGTAATTGTACCACCTATGGACTTAAGGCTGGATGCTCAAGAAGATGGTTTTTCAGTGGGTGGTTGGGCAAGTAGAGTAGAAAAAGGAAATTAAGAAAGAAAGTTGCTTCTTTTACTTTTGTTATACTAAAAAGGGATTATTTCTTCAGCAGTTATCTTCTATTGAAGTTTCCATTTAAAGGATTCGGTACAATCATATTTGAGGATGGAAAACACTAAATGTGGCAATAGAACCGAGGTTTGAAAAAGGTATTTATTTAATAACAAAAGAGAATTATTTATACCCAAATCAGCAACTTTCAATGGTGTAAAAAAATTAAAGAATTCCGAAAATAGCAATGTCAGGAGGTCATAATATTCTCCAATTCAATTAAAGGCTAACACTTTAAAAGACAGATATGACACTTTAAGAAAGATAAAACACAGGCTCCCCAACACCTATAATCTCTAAGACCTATAAGTGGCTACAATGAGTGGCGAACCAAACTCTTTTAAGAGATGGCTTCTTCTTCTTCCATAGCTAGAAATTGTCTAGGAGTCCTTTTACTTCCACAAAAGTAAGAAAACCCAACACAAATAACAGTATAAATTTAATATTATTTAAAGAGAAATACAAGAAATACATATGAGTAGGACAGCTGTATTATTTCCATATGCAACTGTAGCCAAATCTACAGTAGCCAAAACTGTTCTTAGAAGGTCAGCCACTAAAAATTTTTAGAAAGTATTCAACTATCTTATAATTTCTATCTATTCCTTCTCTTTCCTACTATATAGAGACATATATCTGAATTTCTTGAAAGGATGAAGAAAGATTATAAGATTTGATTTTGAAAGAAAGGCCAACTTCTGAGTCCTCTCACAAAGCTATAACTAGAAGTTCAAGTAGATTAAGATATGACAATGTCAACCTCAAAGTTTCATAACTTTCTCCAATCTCTGCCCACAACAAAACAATTAACTCTGCCTAAATACTTGAAAAACAAAACTGAGCATGGTGATTAAATATGTTTAGAAATAGAAAATGACAAAGGAATAGTTAGAAACTATTTAATTGCCAGAGAAGTAATTTGGCTAATTCATAAATTCGGGGAGCTTCTAAAAAGTAGGCTATGAATTGAATTCTAAAAACAGGCATAAAAAGGTATATTTAATATGAAAAATAAGTATAAAGAATTAGAGAGGAAAAGAGACCAAAAATAGCTTATTTGTATGAAATAAAGGGAAAACTAGGTTAATGAAACAGTTCTTGTACTTTTCCATAAGTTTTCTTATGTGCATGTATTATCTTTCAACCACACTGTAAATTCCTTGATGACAGAAACTATGTCTTACATTTCTTTATATAACTCATTCATTGAGTTTTGCACATAACTAAAAGTTTAAATATTTTTAATTGATAGACTGTGACTAATGTCCCTAAACCAACTATTGTACCTATACACCACATTTTATTTACCTAACAGATGATTAAGTGATGTCCTAATCTGAAATTCTTCACATATGAAAAAGTTACTTCAAAATAAAAAGGTTAGCTTTTAAAAGAAAAAGTACAGGATAATTTGTTATTTTTCAAGGCCAAAAGAAAAATCATCTTGTTATGCTACTACTTGGGCCACTTTAGTTTTGAGTGACAAACACGTATCCTGATATATTCATTATTAATAATAACTATCATTTATTAAGGCTGCCCCTGTGCTAAGCACTTTACATGTACTATCTCATTCATTCATTAATTCATTCAAGAAACATTAGAATTCCTGATACATCATGCCAAGTAGAAGACAATGACAATGGTCACCTTATCTCACTGACAAAGAGTGCTTCACACTTTAATTGTTCTATAAAGCATAGTTTTGGAATTTATCAATACAGTTTCACTCATGAATTAAAGAACTGTTCAAAGTTAGTACTCTGAGTGCATTATTTTTTTAATACAACTACAAAATAGTCCTAAGAATAAGCTATGAAATTAACTTCATAAAAACTATCTTAACTTATTATTAGGTGACATTTAAATCAAATATTTTCTAACAAGATTCCCATTATGTTCCACAAGGGAAAAAGACCAAAAATTCTCAAGAGACTCTTTAAGCAAGTGTCAACAAACTCTCTATAATGGGCCAGAGAGAAAATATTTTAGGTTTTGCAGGCCATGTAATCTCTGTCCCTATATAAGAAAATATCTTTTACGATCCTAATGTACGGAAGGATATCTTAAACAATACACCAAAAGCACAATGACTAAAAAAAAAAATCTCATTAAAATGTCAAATTTCTGCTTCACAGGAGACTCCCCTTTTAAAAATATAGTAAAAAGGCACAAACTGAGAGAAGATATTTGCAGTGCATAAAACCAACTTAATATTTTATCCACAACATATAAAGAATTCCAACAAATCAATGTTCAAAAGACAAACCCAGTAAATGGCCAAGAACTAGAAATCACAGAAAAGAAAAACTGAAAGGCCAATAAACATCTGAAAAAATGTGCTCAACTTCATAACTAATTTAGGAAAATGCAATTTAAAGCCATAATTAGATTCTATTTCACACCCACCAGATTGGGTGCTAAAAAGCACATGAAGCACAACTCATAA